CGCACACCCCCCCTTCCCCAGGCATCCCTCTCCTTCCCTCCTAGGCTCCCCGGCCGGCCAGGGCCCGGGGTGAATGAGGAGCCGACGGCGCAGTGAGCAAATGAAGAACGCGGCGCTAGTGGAGGAGGGGGGACCCCGGAGAGGAGGGCAGACTCCTCCACACCCACCGCACCGTCTTGTTTGTAACAAGTCACACAAAACATGCACAGACATTTAACGGGGGCGATCCAAGAGCAGAAATGGGGTCCCCCGCACCGCCGCGGGGCCTGTGGTGGCCCCGCCCTCAGGCACTCAACCCGCACCCGGTGTCCGCCCGCTTCCCGGCTGCGTCTTCCACATCCGGCCAGGCCGGCTCTTCTCCCGCCGAGCAGCCGGGAAGGCGCCCTGCTGGGCTCAGCCTGTGCGCATTACCCGATGGAGAACCAACCAGGCAGCGGCTGGGGACGGATCGGGACGGGAAAGACTCAGGGCGGCCGGACGTGCGCCTGGCGCTGTCGGATGTGCTGGGGGTCTCCTGCCCCTCTCACCTGGGGGTTCCCTGGCTGACTGGTGTGAGCGGGACAGAAGGGCCGCCAGACCGGCCATGGTGCGGACATGGAGCCCGGCCTGGGCGCTGAGGCTGCAGGGTGACCCCCCTGGTCACACACTGACCACCGCTGCCCGTGGGGAGGCCAGGCTGCATTGGGTGAGGGAGTGGGGGGAAGGCGGGCAGTCACGGTCCCCTCTCCAGGCCAAGGGGGCTGAACTCCAGGTCCTACAGACGGGACGGACCAGGGCGGGCGCTGAGGGCCCAGCATCCGCGCGGAGGTGAGGGGGTGCTCTGGTCCCTGAAGCTGATGTCAGAGGGCCTGGCCTCCAGGCCTCTCCCCTGGGCGGCCTCACGGGGTGCAGGTGGGGAAGCCCAAAGCACACGATGCCCTGTGCGGCCTCGGGGGGGCCCCATGGACGGTCCCAGCAGGAGGCTCGGCTGGGAGTTGCAGTCGTGGGAGGGCCAGGCCCTCCTGAACCCCACGGGTGGGGGTGCCGCCCTCTCCAGGAGGAAGCGGCAGGGCAGGAGTGGGCGCGTGCTGTGGACACACCACCCCACCCAGAACTGGAAGGCTCGTGGCTACAAGCGGACATAGCGAACCCTGCTCACAGGGAGCACCTGGGCCCCTTCCTGGGGGGGGCGGGGGCTGCGGCACCCAGGCTGGGGTGTGGGGGAGCTTCCCAGCCGCCCTCCCCGCACCCCGCGGTGTCTGCACCTGTGAACACGCCCTGAGGTGCCTGACCACCGCTGGGGTGGCTCTGGGTAAGTCATGACCCCTCCAGGCCTTGGTCCCGGTGAGCTCAGACCCCCGGAGCCCAGGAGACTAACCGCACTGTTAGGGCCCCAGTCACTCCTCCCGAGACAGGCCCTTTGGGCGCAGGAAGCAGCCCCACGGCCTCGCCCAGCAGCAACTCTGATTTCCGTCAATTTATTCGGAAAAGGAATTTATTCGGGACGCTCCGTGCGGTGCCAGCTGGGAAGGGAGCGAAGGCTGCAGCCCCGGCCCCCTCCCGCTCGGGGCCCAGCTGGGCGCTA